CACACACACACACACACACACTGGAGAGGACAGCAGCCCATCACGGGACACACACAGACACACAGGCCCTGGACAGGACAGCAGCCCATCACGGGACACACACACACACACACACACACGCACCAGGGCCAATTTTCCCAGTAGACAATTAATCCACGAGAACATGGGGAGAACATGCAAACTCCCCACAGAGAGCACCCCGGTCCAGAATTGAACCCAGGGCCCCAGCGCTGTGAGGCAGCAATGCTGACCCCTGCACCCCCCCCCCAGTGATGCCCTTGACTGGTTTTATTTCTCTAAACTGCACGCGTGTGTCCAGCGGGGAGAAACACCACGCTGTGCCCCTGTGCGTCCGGGTTCGGGCTCGGCTCGGCTCGGCTCTCTGGAGGGAAGAGTGTGTGCTCTTTGCCTTTCCCGGCGCCACAGAGCAACGTCTGATAGGGCAAGTGAGTGCGGACACTGTGGGGAACAAACAGCTACCGTCGACCGGAGACCCGTTACTGACGCAGCGGGAGAGAAAGCTCTGCCGTGTGATCGCCGACCCGTGGGAGGCCTGTCACACCGCTCCGGGGAAGCCGTGTCATTGCTCCTCCATGATCAATGGACCGTGGAATGCAAACGGCACGAGGAGCTCCTGTTTCCTGAAGGAGATGCCGCTGCGGGATCTGTGACCTCCGCCCTGCTCACAGCCCGGGGGCTGGCGTGTCAGTTCCACAGCGGTCAGGCCAAGTGGACCCGCTGGCTCGTGACGCGTATGGCAGCGCAGCGGATGACCGTGCAGACTCCAGCTCGCGGCGTGTATGACGCAGAGCCAAACGTCATGGATTTCTACTGCAGCTAGAATTTAAGAAGGCAACGATTTCTGTATAAAATTGATTTTTATCTATTTCTAATTGTATCCTGTGGTACAAATATCACGACGCCCCAGTGAAACCCTCACACTTTGGTCATATGTGGGAAACAGCACTTCTGGGGGCACATTCCATTGAAAATTCCCTCTTTCACCTCTGATTCCCTCAACAGGGTCGATCTGGTTTGATCCCCAGTCGGCTTTTCTGAAAGGGGATTCCCGCATCTCACGGCCCCTGGGATAAGGAACGGCTTTTTAACCTCTGCAGTCGTCGCTTCCCAGAACAAAATCACGGCAGACCACCGGCTCGTCAAGTATGAGCGGGCGCCGCGACTTAAGAGTTAGAAGAATTAGACTCTTAAAACCGAGTTCTTTGATATGTCAGGTGGCTCTTTGGCGACATCTCACAGCTCCTTTCGCTTTCCAGGCTTTTGTGTGGCGTTGAGCCGTGAAATTAACGTCGCCTTTCCCACAAATCCAAATATTGACCATCCCTCAGGTGACTTGTCCCTCTCTAGTCTGTTTTCATAGTGGTCAGAGAAGTGTCACACTATTTATCGTGGAGTTATTTGGTCAGTGCAGTACTTCCATAATATACTTTCTTTTGTTAACGTGGCCAGATATTTAGAACAAACTACGGCCCAGTGAACTACATTTTCCACTCATTTTGAACTTCAAAATAATTAAATTCCCATTTGATCGCTGTCGACCTGTGCCCAGCCTGCCTGCTTGTCGCTGTACTTTGCCAAAATAAACTCGCCCCTTCCGTGCCAACGTTTTGTGCATTTAGATTATCAACGGAAATCCTTGTTTAACCTTTAAAGTTATTGTATCTATTCCACCAGAAACAAAATAAAATGTCGAAGGTGCTGCATGTTGCCGCGCTATGAAAAGGAAGAAATCCTCAAAAAATGGACTGAAATTATTTTGATGATTAATAATTAAGTCACCGGCTGCGGACGGAAGTTACGCATCCACTCTTCCGCAAGGACCCACGAAGCGGAAATGATGTCAGCGACTCTCTGTTACATGTGGTTGTTTGTCCATTGAGCCTTCTCTTCAGCATGGCTGGGGGTAACCCCACCAGGACCCAGTTTCCTGTCAGGGGGAGGGGGTCTCTTGTCCTCTGAACCCTGCAGTAGCCAGGGTGAGTTCCTGCCCAGTGTCTGTTTTGCCTGGACTGTGGACGTCACTCTCCGAGGGACTGCAAGCTGTGGACAGGCACACACCCACAGGTTTTCATTCTAGCCCAGCTTAATGACTTAATTCAAGCCCTAACTTTAATTGAGCAATCAAGCTGCTTGACTGAAACTTTGGCAAGTTTTCTTTTCTACTGCAAAGTTGGGAATTGAATGTTGCCAATTAAAGTAACAGTCAGTCAAGGTTGAAGTCAATCAAAACAACTTTGTTCAACTATCCTTTCAGTATTTCGGTCACATTCTGTTGAATTCAATTAAATAATTAACCTTTTTATGCATGTTTAGTCCAAAATACTCACTTCATTAAAGGTGCGTAGAAAACACCTTAAAGCTAAGTAAGCAATTCATTATTTAACAAAATATGTATTTTTAAGTACTTATGTAACATTTAATAATGTAACTATTTAACAATATTTATGGCATTGAGATTTAAGATCACCTAGATGAGTGTTGAGGGCCATATTATTATTATTATTATTATTATTTTATATACCATATGACAGGAGTCCTGTGGAAGATGAGTCATCTGAAGATTACAGCTCAGAAAGTGAGATTGAGTTCCCAGGTAAATTAAGTTGTGAGTTGACTGCCAATTTAAAGCAATGAAATCTTATTGACAACTCCACCCAAAGAGCAGAATAATTAAACTCTTTGTCAAGCAAATTCTGTTACCGGACTTCAGAGGTATGATCAGGAGGTCTAGAGGAAAAAAAATGTCAGTGTATGGGAAGAGTGAACAAATAAATAAAGAAAATGTGAATAGGGAAATCAGCTGTACTTTGAGAGAAGTTAAACATTTAAATATTTGCACAATAGAGATGTGAACAAACTGAGTCCTTTAACAAGTTGCAGAAAAAGGTCACATCACATAAATAAATGACAGGGGGTGTATTTATCTGAGAACAAGCTTTCGTATTGATTGAACGTTGCACAGAAGGAACATATTTATTTAGCACAATAATTCAAATTCCTCTGTTTTTGTGCCAAATGATCTAATGTGAAACTAATGCAAAGTTCGGCGACTGACTTTGTGGGTTACAGGCCAGTGTGATCAGTTTTGGAGAATGGCAGCATCTTGCTGGCTCTTTTTATTTGCCTTCTCAATACACTCTTGTAAAGTCTTTGAACTTGCTGTTTTAATTGGGACTGTTAATTTTTGAAGACATTCTATACATTTTCTTCGGGGCTGTGCGCCATGCTACAGTAGGCTCTGGACCATTTCCAGGTGGGACTCCGTGAGCAGCAGACCACTGGGCCAGATTCTGGGGGTCACATGACCAGGGAGCTGCAGACCACTGGGCCAGATTCTGGGGTCACATGACCAGGGAGCTACAGACCACTGGCCCAGATTCTGGGCTCACATGACCAGGGAGCTAGAGACCACTGGGCCAGTTTATAATGTGACAAGATCCAAAAGGCCATTTTCAGATGGGCCAGGCTCTGTGCCCCGACGAAAGCTCCACAGCTGAAATCGTTGTCAGAAGGGAGATAATCTGTACTTGTTCCCTTGCAGCTCGCACACTGATCCTACTCCTGCCTCTACAACAAAAATGGTTTTGTTGAAGGACACCTGTACTGGGCAAGCACAGTGTTTTTTTGTAATTATACTGGAAGTGTACCAGAGAATAAAAAACACACTGTTTTGCTCCAGGCAAGCAGGGTGAGGTGGGGGAAGTGTGAGTCAACCACTAGCAAAATGAAGGCCTCAGCAGACGGAGAGGTCAGAGGTGGAGATCGTAGGCAGTATGATCTCATCACCACCTATGTGTTTGTGTCTGCAGGCAGGTCCAGTATCTGCAGTGTGTAAATTAATAAAGGAAACGTTAAAGTAAGCCTTCTCTGCCTCTTTTCGTTATCTTTTCCACTGAAGTGGAGTGTTACTCTGGGCTTTCTCAGCAGGTGCACAGCTCTAGTGTTTTATATGTGTCATCATCTTCTTTATCAGACTGTCTCAGGCAGGGTGGACGACTGTCCTGGCCTCCCTTTTTAGGAACGATTCCTCTCGGATGTGAGAGAATGTCTGAAGGATGGAACTGGAAAACAATGGAAAACCTGGACAGGGACTTGTACCCCAACCCCGCTCTGCTGTGGGTAAGAAAAAAGCAGGGAGAGTCCAGGAGCAAACAGGGGCTGAAACAACCCCTGGAGCTTTTATTGTGCGGCATTGCATCAATCATGGAGGGTCACCAACAGGGCAAATATCAAAGTGTCCTTGATGTCCAACTTGGACCAAAGCTCATGCCAGTAATGAGCAGGCAAGTCAATAAAGGGTAGATAAACTCCTTCCTCCTGGGACTGGGGCTTTCAGTCTTGTCCCTGACCTGCAGTGTCCCATGGGACAAGTGAGTGTGTGCTTCTATTAGTTTAAAAATATAACAACAGTTACAAACTGGAGGAGACCATTCCACCCATCTGTCCAGTTTAGTAGTTAGTTTTGATCACAGGATGTCAGCCAGCTATCTCTTGAATGAAGCCAGAGAACTGGCCCAACCACATGTCTGAGCAACTTGTTCCACACAAGCTCTTTGCTTAAGGAAGCGCCTTTGGTGCTCTTCCACTGGATCGCCACTTGTGCCCTCTGGTCTGTGTTTCGCTGTTGGTTCAGAGGAAGCCCGCTGAGCCGACTTTTCAAAATCCTCGACGTACTTGGGATCAGGTCCCCACTTGTAAAGATGTAAGAATTTACTCTACACCCCAAACCCAGGAAAGAGCTCGTCATCCCTGCCTGAAGACATGGGGTCCTCTTAGATGACAGCGGACCCAGAGAGCGCAGGAGCACTGTACAGCACGTCCGGGTGGGGTCACATTCCCTACCACTCGGCGCCACCCTGCACAAACAGCTGGCAGCCAGCTGGTGGTGAAGGCAATTCTTTGGAATTATGAAGACTGTTTACTCTGCGCTGTGAGTGTTTTTGTCTTGCTCGAAGATACACTAACTCAGATATAAACCTTAAAAGGTGCAAATATTTGGGTAAGGATTGGTACAGGATTTTGTGTGCCTGTCTGTAAAAGTGCAGAATACACACACACATCTCCCACTGTATATAAAGCTCAGTGTCTGTTTGCATGTCTGTCATTAATGGATTGATGGTAACTGCTCCTCTGACAGGTGATGGGCAGCAGGATGGGTGTAGAAAATACATTACTGTACACGCATGCCAGCTATAATTATTTCTAAAGCTAAAGAAAACAGCTAAAACAATAAATTATAGATCATGGAAAGACGTTTCCAAACGATGTTTGGGATGTATCCGATCCTGAAAGTGAACTGTTTCTCGTTACGCTAACCTCCCCCCTTAAATACCTCCTGCAATGCTTTGCATCTGGTGCAACAGGTGCTCTGCCGCTGTCTGCGCAGACGACGGAGATTTGACCTGGTGCACATCTGCCTTCATTGTGATTTCTGTTGGTTATTTTCCTTTTCCGAACAACGCCACATACAAATGAACAGTCCTCAGGAACATTTAACTGTTGAAGAAAAAGAAAAAGGCATAGCTTGATAAGGTGCTTGCATCAAGACTTTCACATTTATTTGTATTTTCTTCAGTTTCTCGTGTGTGCTCGACCAGGAATAACAGCGCTCAGGGATGAAGTGTACTGACTGACTGTCCGGGGTGTTGGAGCCGCCGGCTGAGGGCCGGTCCCCGGGCCACAGTGCCCCAGTGGAGTGAGGAGGGACGAGGGGCCGGAGCAGGAGACGAGCCGAGGGAGAGAAGGGGTCACGTGAAGCACAACTAACTTGTAAATGAGAGAAGATGCAAAGGAACAAGTAATAGGTTTATTCCACGCTGAAAAGGTTGACACCTGAAGAAGGCTCCACGGCCGAAACGTTGTGTTCTCTTTCTTCTTTTTTCAGCATGGAATAAACCTATTACTTGTTCCTTTGCAGCCTACGCATGCTGACGCAGCTCCCCACCACAATGAGAGAAGATGGCGTCAAGGCTAATGAAACTGCGTGCCTTCCGTCCTTAACTTTCATTACAAGCATTACAAATGAACGTGATAAGTAGATAAAATACAGTTTCTGCGCAGCATGTACCTCCTTTGATCAAGAGTGCTTTGTAAATGTAGCTCAATTTCACGGAAAGTAAAATAGATTCGGTCTCACTTCTTTAACAGGTAAAGCTACGGAAATTTAGATGATTTTAAAAGAAGTACTTCTCTGGAGAAGTAGAGTTTACTGCAGTAACCAGAATTCTAAAACCAAGCAACAAGGACTTGTAACCTAAAGATTTTCATGATGAATGTGTTTAAAAAAAAGTTATAATTTCAATATTTGCGAAGGCGGTTGTGGTTTTAGCTCTCCAGACCTTCTCTCTCCACTGTTTAAAGTATTTATGATGTTTACTCAGAACATACAACACAAGGAAGGGGTTACAGGATAAAGTAAATGACAAAAAAAATCAATTTGAGAGAAAATAAGTGTGCTATCTTAGAAAGACTGAAATTAAACCGCGAGTGAGACCCAATAAAATTGGCCTTGATCACATCTTGTTTACCGTTTGCAGCTCAGTTAGATTGTCCCAATAAGTACATGGTTATATTTCCTCTGAGATTCCGATTCCGATTCGGATTAAGAGGTTAGAAAACGGACGGATGACGCTGACAGGGACAGCGATTTAGAATTTCGGATTTGGGGAATTTTGAAGCCCCTTGAATTGACGCCTGGTTGTGACGTCACCATGGGGCCACGCCCGGAATTAGTGAACAGAAACGTGCAGCGACGAGCATCTCTGTGGCTCCATTTCGTTCTAGCAGCTGAAGAACGACTTTATCAGAAACATTACGTCTTAGATTAATTGGACCAATTTAACACCTCTTCCTTGTTCTTGTGCTAGAAGGAGGTATAAATCCTTCTGGATTGCGGTTGAACAGGACTGGAGCTGCGCTCTCAGAACGGCTGTGTGTGTTTCATGGCCACCAGGGGGAGACAAAGCACAACCGCGAAGCTTCAGGTTTTAAACCCGTGTTGGGCTCTATGCCATAACACACAGAAACTCCATTGTTTAGATATTTTTTAAGTGTAGTAATTTTAAAACATATTTGACTGAAGGATCCTGGTGCACACAAGGGATACAAATAAAAAAAAACTAAAAAACTAGCTCGTCCGCAATTGCAGTGCTTGTCCTTGACCTTGAAAATAATCTTTCATATCCCCACAGTTACCACAGCTCTCCTCAATCACTAGCAATTGTTCAATTGAACAATTAACTGAAATGCATGAATCTTAAATGAGCTTTATTTTGTGAAGCAATGAATAAAATTAAGTACTTGCAAATAAAGACAAAATGTATGCAATTACTTCGACAAAAATACAGTGATATGACAATGAAACAATGCAGTGCCTTAAAATAAAGTACATAACGTAGGATATATTCTGTCTTTTTAGAGAATATTTTATTATACTAATGATCTTGATTTCATATTCGATACCAACAGCATTATTACCCAATGGAGAAATATTGGGGGAGGAATATTGCTAACCTGGCTGTGCAGGACTCACACAATTGGGCTGTTTTTGAATAAAATGCCCCAAACCTTAAATACCTAAAGCCCTGATCGTGGGTCCATTTTCCCACAGTTCTCCATGGGCTCCCAGTCCCGGTCCTGGGGATCCACACCTGGCTTTCACTGCAGCTCAGCCCTTGACTTAGACAGACCCATAACTGAATTAACAATTCGCCAGGAGATTTTAGGTGACTTAAGAAACACAGTAGTTAATCCTCCTGCATGTTCAAAAACAGAATACAATTAAAAGGTTCTGAAACTGAAACCTATTCTTAAGGGTCCAATTATGTAAACGAATGTTCAGCTGGAACAGAAACCAGGTGTGGACTCCCAGGAGAAGGGCTGGGAGCCCCTGACCTGAGGTGCACCTTGGGGCAGCTCACCTGCGCAGTGCGACGCCCTCAGACTGGAGCTGGTCAGTAATCTTCTCAGAGGAGCTCTTTCCTCTGGTCTGATTCGGTTTCTGGATCTCGGGCCAAACGCCCAGCAGCTCAGGCAGGTACAGCAGCTCAGGCAGGTACAGCAGCTCAGCAGCTCAGGCAGGTACAGTAGCTCAGTCAGGTACAGCAGCTCAGCAGCTCAGGCAGGTACAGTTACTCAGTCAGGTACAGCAGCTCAGCAGCTCAGGCAGGTACAGTAGCTCAGTCAGGTACAGCAGCTCAGCAGCTCAGGCAGGTACAGTTACTCAGGCAGGTACAGAGAGCCCAAGCCAACTAACCCTAACCTTGTTCCACATGTCATGATCTCACAGTGTGAGATCTAGAGCATTCAGCTTGCCCAGAGGGAGCCCTACTGCAGTCTGCGTCACCTGGGAGTCCATGAAGTCTATTTCATTTTAATGTAAGCAATTTAAGCAAATCCTGCTCTTCCTCAACACTTCATCTTGAGGCCGTATCAGTGCTGCAAGACAGACAAATGATTCATTGCTCTTTGTCAGTTTGGAGTGATGATCTGTATAGAATCTGGAACCTGAATTGTATCAGGTTCAACATTAAATATAAGTAAATAATACATTCTATAACTTTTAAATGCATCAAGCAGACCACCATTTCTATCCAAGAATTGTTTCTGGACAGAAAACAGAAAACGGTTTCAAGATCCCACCCATAGCTCCTCTGGCTGTAAGTTAGGAGAAAAGGGCCTGATGGCTGTGTGTGATGCTGGTACTCAGACCTGCTCTGTCAGACCTTCCCCACTGACACCAGCTCTGCAGTCTGAGAGGAAACTCTTTCGCCGAGGGATGTAGTGCAACGCGTGGCCACACGGGGGAGACAAAGGCCAGGTCCAGTCTGCCTGACTGGGGGAGATCCTCTCCTGTCGTTCCCATTTACACCAGTTTCCCCAGTGTTGGACACACTGCAATTCAAAGTGATCCGTTTCATTCATTTTTTTTTGAAGAAAACGTTCTGCCACACACCTGCATAGATCTAGAGTCTCTTTATTATGACGTAGCAGTATTTAAGCAAACCTTTCCAAACAGAAGCCACGGAAAAGATCTCACGCATTGCAGCATTGCTAAGACGTCTCCAGTTATTTCTCCGCGTATGAAGAATCTCACATTTATTTGCTATATTTGGGAGCTATAAGATTTCAAATCTTAACCAATATTCTTCTCTAAAAGGTATTAGTGATTTTTATTAAAATGTCGGTGGGACACAGCAAGCTAAAAAATGACCGGCCTCCCGTTTCTCCCTGACAGTTAAATATTTCAGCTCCACACCAGCGCTTGGAATTGTAACCAGTCTTTTTCAGTGTGTCTGGGTTTTCACCACTGTGCTGTACAGAGAGGAGGGGTCCTCCGTCTCGTCGCCACAGCGAACATTTCTGGAACACAAGAAGGGAAAAGCACCTGAAAGTGACGCACACGCGATGATGTAATTACCGAAGAAGCGCTCAATACAGATTTATTTAGATTTAAATATATTTAGAATTGATATATTTTCATTTCAAAAGTTAATTACATTTTACTAACGAGAGGGATAGGTTAAAAGGCTTTCTATACGTTTAAGAAAAACAGTCAAAGAGTTCAAATTAACCCTGTTATTAAGAAAATCCAGGGACTGAGTATGTAACTGAGAGTTTGGCTGGAATAAAAACCAGGAGAGTGGGTGTCTTCCTCCAGGATCAGGAATGGGCGCACAGATTTAAAACAGAGACACACAACTCCAGTCCCGGAGTCCATCGGGTTTTCTAGGTCTCTTCACCTTCAAACTGTCAGTAGCTGGAGACTTTCAAAACGTGTTACATTTAAGGTAATGACTGTTTAATCAGTTAATCAATCAACTATTTAATCATGGAATTAATTGGGTTATTTAGAGAAGGGGTGGACTCTGCAGCTCTGCAGGACTGGAATGGAGCCCCCTGCTTGAAAAGTTCTGTCTTCTTTCTTCTTCAGGTGCTTTTCAAGACCCAGAGCTGTGAGTCACACAGGTTCACTGGGGGATAAAATGATGTGATGCTGCTGGAGCCTCTCGGATTGAGCAGAGTCTCAAGTCAATATGTGTGCTCTACCTAATCCAGTCTGGATCAACCTCCACCTGGATACTGTAGGTCTGGTACAGAGACAGGCAGCCCCACACAGCAGCCTGCGAGGCAGTGAGGGTGAGATATGAGCAGGGGTTGGCGATGTGTGTTCAGTAATATGAAGGGGCTGAGGGTGAGATATGAACAGGGGTTTGCCATGTGTGTTCAGTAATATGAAGGGGCTGAGGGTGAGCTGGGCTCTTTGGGGCTGCTGACCTGTTCACTGAGCTGTAGACCACCGAGGCATCGTCTGTCACCTCTCCAAGGGGGCGGCTCCTGTTCGGGTGAGACATTGGAGGAAAAGAATCAGAACAGAAGCACATTCTGCTTGTCTGGGGGCTTCTCTTCAGCACAGCGAGATAATTCTCAAGGATTGTTTGATCTTAAACACAAGTGAGATAACTGATGTATATTGAGTTTAATTCATACTGTTTTATAAAAAAGAGGTTGGTTGAATTTAGAGGGCGTACACCTGTGTCTTGTCACCAGGTGTGCTCTCGATAAGAAATGTGTTCAGACTTGCCTGGGTGTCTTGGGTTTGAAGTTCACTGTTGAGTAGTTGACCTCAGTCTCTTGTGCTGGAGTGATCTGGCCCTGCTGTCTCTCTGGGGTGTGTGACTGTGTCACATTGTCATACAGGTGATCTACAGCTGCCTTTACACAGGAGGAACAACACAATGTCATAAGAATGTCTGCGAACGAGACATGTTTAATAAGTGATATTAAAAATGACTGAAGACGGGAATGAGGAGCTGCGTCAGCAGGCACAGTCTGCAAAGCAACAGGTAAAGCTTCATTCCCTGCTGAAAGGGAAGGAAAACCAATTCTGGGAACATGTCAGGGCTGCAAGGATCAAAGATCTTTCCAAAACCAATAGCTCCCCATTTCACCTCGAACAGCCATGTTCACACAGATCTCTCCATCTGCATTCTCGCAGAGGGGTTTAGGAACTCCTGTTGCCGAAAGACATCCAAAACCAAAATTGTCCTGAGACGAGGATCACACCTTCCCCATCTCTCCATGACAGACTCGTCTCCTTCTAAACCCTGTCTGCTCATTTGCAGAGTTTCTTTCCACACTCTCCTCCTGCTCTCCCTGAGTCTCATTCTCACCTGCTTTATGCTCATTTCTCTTCTGCTCTTTCTCTGCTGCTTTGCTACTCTCTCTCACACCTGAAGAAGGCTCCACAGCCGAAACGTTGTGTTTCTTTTCCTTACCTTTCAGCACGGAATGACAATAACGTTTAATGCAATGTTAGTATTCTTTTCATTCCAACAGTGAGCTTCTCTTAGTTGTTATGGTCTACTGTATATAAAATGATGCTGTCTTGTGTGTTAAGGGGGTTAGTAGTTAATATCTAATTCTTTACCTGTGTGTCACTGTTCTCCTCTTCAGTTGGGCCAGACTTCCTTCTATGGACAAGAAGGAAAAATCAATATTTAAATGGCACCCTCTGATATTGATTTCAAGTTCAAGTTTAAGTTTATTGTCATTGTACTCATATACATG